GAATTTTATTAACATTAAATCGTCCTCGTCCCATTTTCACCTCAAAATTATGGGGAAGCTGTGCCTCCCCTGCCTCCCCTGACGAGCTGCCACTGATTGAAGGTGGAAGAGAGCACTGTACATTCACTCCCCCCACCTACAACCGAGACTCGAACCCATGACCAAGTCCGACTCTCTAACCATTAGGCCACGACTGCCCCAGGTAGCTAATTATGACATTTATTATAATGGGTTTATGTGAAGATTGGTTTAAGTTTACTTAAATTAGAAGTGTTTTTTTTTTTTTTTTTTTAAGTATAATAAATGTTCAAATTGATAGCTCTCAATTACACTGTAACCGGGCCTGAATTTCGTTTTGGAAAACGGGGGGGGGGTTCCCTTTAGGTGGCCCTTATGGTTTTTTTTTTTTTATTATTTGATGGGGGAGTTAGGGTATTTTTTGTACATTTTTAAACTACAATCATCCAACCTAAATGTTTCGTCACCCAGTGTAATTGCATTTTACAATGTTGTTGATTCATATTTATATAGTGAGATTTCAGGTAGGTATAACAGTAATATTCAGGTACAGAAATACCACAGAAACTGAATAATCTATTTCACTTTAAAATAACACTGGTTAGTCTTCCATGTATAAATAAACAGACAGCAGCAGGTTTATTTAGGTTGCTGTCTCTTTAAGACCTCATGCACGGATCTGTTACACACAAGTTTTGTTTCTCAAATGTTTACATTCACTTAATAGCCTATGTACTGACAATGTTTAGTATAAATCGACTGTTTACGTGAATACTCATCAAGATGGGCATTTTGACAATTTTTTATGTATTTGGCCGTTTACGTGCAATAAGACGCAACACAACTTGAACTGTGTGAGCTCACAGAAAGGAGTCTCACAGAGAGCACACAAGTACTGAATTGAGCACTTGAATGTTTAAAACGAGAGTGCCTCACACGTCCTGTAAAGTGAAGCTGCGGGCTCTTTGATCGCCCCCTGGAGCTGCAGTACAGGTCATAAACACCGCCCTCTCCATGTAAACGAATGGGAATAGAGTCAAAATAAAAAAATTAATTACATTTCCAATACAATTTTCCGAAAGATGGTTCGGTCATTAAAGGTAGTTATCACGCTGATATATGTTCAATTGTTCGTTTCGAAATTCAAGCCCTGTGTAATGTTGAATGGCTAGTCAATGGTTAAATATTAGGGAAAAAAAAATTCCTAGAGACATCAGTAGCATTGGTATCAGTGACACTTGCCTTCAGTCATAAAAAAAGATGTCATTAAACAAATACTAAAAATATACTGTCTTTGTTGTTTCTATATTAATTTGAATGTTAGGTGGGATTAATCACGATTAAATAATAACAATTTTAATCAACTGACAGCACTTTTATATGCGTGTGTTTGTTTGTGCGTGTGCCATGTCTATTCAGTGATTTACAAATCTGCCACATTAGTCTAATTAAGTCGATTTCAATGTGGGCCGATATAAATACTGATAGGTATTCTATTCCCATGCATTTGACACCTCCATGTATTTTTGCATGCAGATCTTGTACCTCTATGAGCATCGCCCTCTCCGTTTTCATGACCACTTCCAGCAAAGGTTTCACCAGTGTCTGTGGAGCAGCTGGTATCAGGTGGAAGAGGTTTATAATGGCCGAACAGATCCTCATTTCCTGCAGAGGTGAATGAAGTAATGCATCACAGTTATTGTTAGTGATGACCAGCGGTGAAAAACTAAGTGTACCTCCTGTAATATAAAATCAACAGTGACAAGTTGGGGAACATCTGCAAGAAAGTCAGAGTGGCAGGTTGGTTCCTGAAAACATCATAGATCCATGGGACATCATACATTAGCAGGTTTGAGAGGGACCACCTCAGAAATGTAAAACATAAAAGTCAAACACAACACCACAGACACAAATACGATTACAAAGACTCCACTAGCTCAGAGTAACCACGAGCACAATGAGAGCAGAGCCAGTGAAGACCCCACAGCAGGCCGCCATCTCACCTCTACACCCTCCATGGCAGGCTGCGCCAGAACAGGAGACAACAAACAATCAGCAAAGCAGTGTGGGTAATGAGTGCTGTATGGATTGAGGAGATGGGTTCAGGTGAATGGTGGTGTGTGTGATTCTGTGCAGAGCAATCTTCCTTCTAGGCTGCACATTTGTTGAAAACGAAAGTAGCAAAAAAGTGCAGAGGCCAAAAAATATGAGGTAAAAAAAACAAATCAAAACACTTTTCCTGAACTGAAACGGGCAGCATTTCAGCTGGACTCCATCTACAGATCCATTGGTTTCAGTATGGAAACTGAAGGTGAAGGTGATCGTGAAGGTGAATGAGAAATCTTGTGTGGGAATACATTACACAGCACTGATTAACTAACGTAAAGGGTATACAAAAGTATGGGCATTAGGATCATAGTGCTACATAATGTATAACTGCAAAACCGATGGTTGTTACTACATTTAAATGCTATATTTTAATAATTATCTAGACAAATAACAAGTAATGCACACAATTTAATAATGGGAGAAAATAACCGTACTACTTGCAATAATATCTACTATGATCAAATATTAGAATTTTTGCATTGAGATTATTTTCAGGACAATGCAGCATATTTTACTTGTATTTTTGGTATCAGAGCATTTTAATGAGAATGAGTACATGAGCACAGTATTGGGCCCGATAATGATGCCAGTATAAATAATGGTGAACGCCTAACTACATCAAAACTTGCATTCATTTTAAATTAAATTAAATTAAACTTGTCAAGACATTACATCAAATGTCATGCATATCACAATGCCAACATTTTAGTAGTCCTAAAAGCATATATTTTTATAAAATATTTTTTTCCTGGGGTAAAACATGAACTTTACACATTTTTATGATAAAAATAAAAAAAAATTTCCCTTTGTAAAGAATTGCACAGAGAACAATGCACAGTCTTCATAATCCCTGAGTGCGACTTCGCACTATATTTGGGACACTGTCAAGATATTTTTACACTGAGAAAACATTGAAATTCGAGCACTGAAGAGCAATCCTAATACTGAACTAGCACCCCAGCATGGGTTTATCTGAGTATGTGCTCTCATGAAGGATAAATCTGTACGCTCTCCCTGAACAGACCTTCTTTTTCTCTGTATGACTAAACGAATCTTCTGGAACTCGCATTCTGAATGCCCCCCACCCTTCCAATCCTGAACCCAACTGACCCCGCCTCATTGTCATGTATGGCTGGTCATTCTGTCATTGTTGTAAGAATATTAAGAACTGCAGGAACAGAGGGCCAATTTGCATGTAATTATAATACATTTTAGAGAAAGGCAGGTCGTGAACACGACAGAAAGAATGACAGCTCGTTTTGAAGCATGGAAACAGAATGGCTTTCTCCCCCTCTCACCTTTTCTTACTCTACAAGGTTATCTGTCCAACAAGATAACGAGGATCCAGAATTCTGAGGCTCGTTACTTAGGCGGCCTGGGGGTGGATGGCGCTTAATTAATCATTGATTGTAATATGGCCACTCACAGAGTCTGAGTGGGGCGATCTGGGCTGGAGGAGGGAGTCCAGTCCAGAGCGCTCATCTCAGCTCTCAATTTCTACAGACCCCTTACGCTCATTGAAGAGGCTTAAACGAGGCTGTTGCCCTTGTGAAGTTCAACAAATAATTCAAGGAAAAGCAGAGATATTAAAACAAGCTTATACTCACACTGCCATCACTACGCTGGCCTCCTTTATGCGTGATCACCACCACCTCCATCCATTTACGCAGATGTTGCTGCAACAGGGTATATACAGGAATCATGGAGTTAAACAAGAATTAGACCAATAAACAAAACAACTGACAAAACTTATTGAGGAGGGAAAATAAAGCTCTCCGAGCTAACGGGGCAATGAGTTTACACAGTTACATAGGCATGGGCCGGTATGAGATTTTGACGGTATGATAACCTTAAGCAAAAATATCACGGTTTCACGGTATTACGGTATTGTATCACGGTATTACGGCTAAAATGTGTTAATTTGAAATGTCTGGGTAAAAAAAAAAAAATTTGAACAATATATTTTGAGCAACATACAGAATATTTGGAGCAGTAGTATTTGTTGTATTATAAAAAATTTTTTTTAACCAGTTATTTAATTTTAGGCCTGCCCGGCCGCGTGCGGCGCACTGATCGCCGCTAAGGATCCGCACCCCTTCTGCGTGGTCTGCTTGGGCCTCAAGCACGCTGAAGAGGCTTTGGAGAACCCGGAAAACTGCAGCCATTGCCTCACGTTGCCTAAAAAGCTCCTTCGGCGCCGTCTCAAAGTTGCCGCGACCCAGTGCGTCGAGCTCGGCCTTTCGGACTCGGATGGGGGACACTGTGATGACGACGCGCTACCGGGGGCCTCCCGGGGTGCAACGTCTCTCAACTGGGCTGACCAGCCCAATCCTGTTTTTCCCGAAGAGGACATCTTCGCGGGTAACCTCCCGTTTGCCGTCGAACCAGCTGGTTCCGGCGACGATGACGATGCGGGCCTTCTCGGGGTCTCGGAGGACAAGGAGGCCATCCCGCCCTCTAGCGTTCCCCTGGCTAACGCCCCCGCTTTACCCCAGTCTATCCTCCTGGACGTGTGTGAACGAGCGGCCGCTCGCCTCAACATTGAGTGGCCGGCTCCACAGAGCGCCACCGACCAGGAAAGGGACATTTACGACGGGAAACTGCTGGGACCGCCTCCCGGCCCGAGGAAACAACTCTTTTCCGTCCTCCCAGCGTGCGCTAAGCACATGAGACACAATTGGGGCGATCCGCTCGATCTTAAACACGGTCTCACGGGCCTCGAGGTGAAGGATATGGGAGCTCAAGGCATGGGTGATTCCCCTGCCATTGAGCCCTCTGTCGCCAGGCACCTTAACCCCGTCCACGGCGGGCTGCTCGCTCCCCCGAAGCCGGTTTTGCCCAATAAAATGGACCGTTTTTCTGCCTCAATTCACCAGGCCGCTTACAAATCCTCGGCCTCACATTTATCATAAACAAAGCTCAAATGCTTCCTACTAGTGTGGCCCAAAACATTTAGCACAGTTTTATTACAGGTAGAATGCAAAATGTTTCAGTACAAGCATTTCAACCAAATGTAATTTATGCAATATTTCAAACCTTTAACCCATAGGGAAAAATTAACCCATGGCAACAGTTTATAAGCAGCCCAATTTCGTGGAAAAAAACAACAACAACCCTGCATCCAACACGAGCTGCAGAAGTCAGATTTGACTAATCACGGGTCAAAAGTAAGGAGAGATAACTGACAAGATGTTGGAGGATTTGCTCCTCAACAGATCCCGAGCTCATTGACAAATATCTTTTATCGTAAGATGTGCTCCCTTTACACAGTGCGCGCGCG